AGAAGTTAAATTTTCTTTTACAGTCAATATTCACACTCAAAATACTGTTTCTTTTCTATCTTGAAAAAAATGTAATAAATTTAGTGTGCAACATCTAAAGGGCGGCAAACGTGAAAACAAATGTAGAATCAAGAATGTATACATTGGGGGCTGGAAAGATGGCTCCGTTTTTCTTCCAGAGGACCTGGGTTCAACTCCCAGCACCCACATGGCAGCTCACAACTGTCTGCAACTACTGTTCCAGGGTATCCAACACCCTCACACAGACATGAATTCAAGCAAAACACTAATGCACATTAAATAAATAAATGATTTTTTAAAAAGTCGGCCACTGGTGGCGCACGCCTTTAATCCCAGCATGTAGGAGGCAGAGGCAGGGGGATCTCTGTGAGTTAGAGACCAGCCTGGTCTACAAAGCAAGTGCCAGACAGGATCCAAAGCTACACAGACAAACAAACAAAAAAGAATTTATATATTGCTAAGAAAGTACTCTGACTCCATATGAAACAATGCTGGGTGCTAGCCACTCAGTGTTTCCATACGAATGTGAGAGATCTTAAATGCCCAGTAGCTGGAGCTGTGTGTCTCAGATCTTTACACCCCACACACCTGGGCCCGAATTGTGGGGTCCTGCTGCATTCCAGGAATCCTGTTTTATTGTACTCTTTTCTTAAACTTTGCTTTCCTTACACTTGGAAGGATAGAAAGGGAAAACTTTGGTTTGAGCTTAGAGGCAATGGGGGTGGGGAGTGCTCATCTTTTCTCTGGTTTAGGAAAAGTCAGATTTTTGCTTAGTCCAGCCTTTCTCACTATGGAGCTAGAAAGGACTGTGGTGGAAGCCTTAACAGCAACATAGTACATTTTCCTTTCTCTCCCATGTGGGTATTTCCTTTAGGAACTTCACTAGTGAATAGGGAGACTTTAGCAGAACAGAATTAAGATATTTTAGATCTCCTAGGTCCTATTTCTAATTTTCAAGATGGTCATAAAGTCTGGAAACATACATGAATATCCCCAATGATAAGTTCAGAGATGTTGAGTTTTTGTACCTGGTATGGCCAATGATGAGTTTTGCCTCATTTTAAAGCCCCATCCTGTCCCAACTATATTGTATTCTGCACCAGTCTTTCTTAAAGATCGGCCAGAAGCATTGAACATGTGGTTACTATCTGTACTTTCTGTGGCCTGGGTGTTTGTGTACCTCCAAAATCAAAAGATGCTCCTCAAGGTGATCGTATTAGGAAATGGGTGCCTGGTGATGAGGTCACACCATGAGAGCAGCAACTTCACAGTGGGATTGGTGCCCTTGTGAAATACACCATACATAGCTAGTTGGCTCCCCCAACAGGAGAGAATACAAAGAAGGTGTACTCCAAGTCAGGAAACAGAACCTCACTAGGCACCAAAACTGTCAGTGACTTCATATCAAACTCCCTAGCTGCCAAACCTAAGAAATACCGTTTTATCCATTAGCTACCCAGAGAATGGCATTTGGTTATAGCAGAACAAACTAATATTCTGAATACACCTGAAATAAGTTTTCTAATTTCCCTGAGATCATTTCAAACCCCCTACTTGTGTTCTAAGCACCAGAATGAAATAAAAGTGCTACTTACATACAACCTTTGACTTCTGAAGCAAAGTTTGACATACAAAGCACTTTTACTCCATTTGGTTAATCTTGAAAACACATAAGAATATGAGTAGAGATAGGGTCACCAAGTAAAATGTAGGACACGCAACTACGTTTGAATTTCAGATAAATATTTCCTGATTAAAAATATATCCCATGACTTAGTTTTCAAAGAGTTACCACTTGTCACTCTAGTAGGAGGAAGAAGTGACTCTAATGTCTTCCACTTGAAAATGACACACAAGAGGTACATTCGTGTTTTATTGATGAAATAAGTCATGTGGTCATGCCTAACCTAAAGTGAGCCCACCCCCCCACACAAAATAATAAAAGCAGCTTTGAATTCCTATCTTAAAGGAATACTTCAAATTAAATGAGGACTGGCAAACATACCAGAGTAGTTGCTGTTAAGAGTGAGGAACAAAGGATTGGAAATAAAAGTAAAGACAGAGAGGAGAAATAAGTAACAGTTGATTGTAGCAGGTACCGTTGCTTTCACTGTACAGGTGGCTATACTAAAAATTGGTTTTAATGTAATAGCATTGTTCCAGGGAGGAATTCAAACTTGGGTCTTCTGACTCCACATCCCACCCCTTATTACCTCCTTCTCCAGATCCTAAGGCCACATGCTTTGACAAATAAATATAAATCCTTACATTAGTAATAGTGTCCAATCTCCATGCTGATTTGAATAGGATGTGCCAATAGTTCTAAATTAATTGTATTTTTATTCACTTGATATTTTATCAATAATATGCCCACAAACCTAAAATAACTCTCATTGTATTCTTTCTTCATAAGAGTCATTAATAATGGTCTTAGAAAAGTAAAATTTTGGGACCCAGATGGACCTGAATTAGAAGACTAGCCCTGTTAGGCAATGACTGGTTTAGAACCTCTGCGTATCAAAGTTTGCAATTGTAAAGCAAGGAAAATAAAGCCTACTTACATGATTACATGAAGACTGAGCAAGCTAGAACACGGTGGTCTATTAATATGGACAACTTTCATATTATGCTGAATCCATTTAGTAATTAAGTTAAATATAAGGGAGCATGGCAGAGCCTGGTATTTAAGGGTTTTTTTTTTGTTTATAATAGAGCCTTGCAGTACAGCTCAGGATGGCCCCAAACTCATAATCCTGTTTTGTTGCTCCTGTGTGCTAGGATTACGGAAGTGTGGAACTCTGCAAGCTTTTATTATTTATGTTTCAAGGCATTTAACCTTTGCTTTCTGTTGTTCCAAAGTTCATGATGTAAATTAATGCTGTGACAATCTCTTGTTTTTCTTCCTGGTCTATCTATTTCCTATTAATTGAATACTTAATAGTGTAGTTTACCATGATTGAACGTCAAAGATGCCTTCATCTTCATATTTTAAGTTTCACTAATCTGCAAAGGTCCTTTAACAAAAACTCCCATTAAATGACAGGAAGCACCATGGAAAGGCCTTCAAGGGGGACCAGATGCGGGTGGAGAACTTATAGGGAACAGAAAGGCTATCTACTAAGTCCCTCTATCTGACTGTGATGAACTTCACTGGTCTCTGACATTATTTTGATACTTAATAAGATTTTGAAAATAAGTCCGAGGACTCATATGAGCACTTGTAGCTGGAAAAGCAGGCGATAAGACTTTAGACCAACAAAGGCAGGGAAGTCATAATACATCTCTCTTTCTACGCAAGGCTGCTACAAACAACCCTATAAATCACATGCCCTGACATCTCTATTTGATAAACCACGTAGAATCCAATTCCAGTCATTTGATTCCTCTGTTCTCTTATACCCAAACATAAATCAAAGGATTAATAGCTCTGAAATTGATCTAAGTGCCAGAGAAGGCCTTGAAAAATTATCTTTGTCTGTGCACAAATCCCTTCATTTACCATCTTAAGGGAGCCCTTTCTTCTCTCTTCCCCACACAGATAAAGGTTCAAGAGAAACTGGAGTCTCCTTTGTCTATTGACTTACAGCAGAATGAACCTTGAAATGGAGATGTACCTGAGATTACTTGAACATCAAAGAGAAAGTTAAGTTTCAAAAAGAATATGAGGTTAAAGAAAGAAAGAAGGAAAAAAAATTGCAATCTATTTTCCACAGTCACCAGCCAGTTCTTGGGGAAACAGGCATAGTAGTAATAACCAAAGCTTATATTTTAACTTTTAAAAAATGCTACATTTATTTAATGCCTCTGTGTATGTGTTTATGTTCACACAGAGATACCCATGTGAGTTTGTCATGACACACATGTAGAGGTCAGAGAACAGCCCATCTCCTCTCGTTCCTGGCAGGAGTGAGTTCTACCCTAAGGGCTTGGCTGCAAGTGCCTTTACTCACAAAGCCATCTAGACTGCCCTTTATTTTAACTTTTTAGAGTCTTGTTTTTTAGCACATTGCCTACCACAAGATCTGAAAACAGCAACTTGACTGTTTCCATGTTGACCTCCAACAGTCTAGACAGCATTTCTGGGTAGAATCCCAAGTTAAAAGCATCCTGGAAGAAAGAATACTATGACAACAGAATAGATTAGTACCATGGGGGTGTTTTATTTAATCCTTTAAGTTTGAAGTCAACCAAGCTTTAAAAAATAGTTTCAATATTCCCACTGTTAGCTTAAGGACTGTTCACTCTTTGACTATCGAGGAAGAAAATCCCTGGTTCCAAGGGATCATTTATAGTCTGACCAGAGTTTGGTTGAACCATTTTGTAAACAACAAACCATAAGTGTTGAAAGAAGTCCCAGACTTGCATTGACCGAGGGACGCATTTTCCTTTCTCCAATACAAACTTCAATTTAAAACCTTAGAACTTGTTGCTTTGCTTCTCTTCCAGCTTGCTGCCACACACATTCCCCCTGGGTACTTTTGTCCATTATCTTCTTGGGTAATCCAAGAGCAAGAGGCCCTTTAAAAAGATGTCTCCAACCTGCATACTTTGAACACCTAAGAAGGTGCCTTGTATTCACTAGGGAAGGATCGTGTGGGGCCATCACTGAGAAGAGTGTCTTAGCTGTGGGTATCAGGACATAGTCTTCCATATACAGTGAGCAGCCTGCCTTCCAAATAGCTATATGCTTTACTGAAAGCATTTGACTGAAAGCTAGAACATATTTAATTGGATTTCCCCAAATCCAAGTTTCCTTGTCTTCATTTGGTAACCATATGATGAGGGATATCAAGTCACAGTATACCGGGAAGGGAAGTTGTATTATTAGAGAGAGAATTCACTTACATGAGAAGCTGAGAACTGAGGTCAGTGCTCTGCTGGTCTCCGACCTCGACTGCAGCCCCAAGAGAGTGAGTGACTCCTCCTTCCTTGACCTTGATTTCTGCTTTCTCACACATACCTGTGACCACACCCACTTGGGCGTGGTCAGTGCTAAGCGAGCATTAGATCTGGATAATCATATACATATAAATTTTAATTTAAACAAACTTTGTGATCTTTATTGATAGATGACAACTTTAGACTCCTAGTAATCAGCATACAGTGTACAATTAGGGACACGGCATCAGAGAGTCAGAGACAGACAGATTGCACAGCAAACATTGGGAAATGGCACTCTTCATCATTTTGTCCCCTTTTCTTCATGAGCACACAGAGCATGAATGTGATTTGAAGTCTTTCTATAACAGTAAAGTTACAATACCCACCCTTGTAGCCTAATTTCTGCACCCCAAATGTCTGACCCACCACACTTTTCCAAAGCATCCTGGACTGGGTATCTCGTCAGACTGCTTATCCAACTGCTGTGTGGAAAAATGGCTGCAAACTAACTGTTTCTTTGGAACTCTGCGGGTAAAGCACAGACCTGATGTGTTCACTGAAAACACAGGTAATAGTTGTTTGAACAAAATCTGTCCTTTGGGTGACAGACGCCTAATTCCTGGGACCTACTTGCTCTCTCATTCTTGCTCTCCTGTCTATGGCTTCCTGCTCTTTAATAAGCGGCCTCTAGGCCCATTGAAATCAGTACGTTTCCTGTGGATGGGTGAGAGGAGCTTCTTGAGACTCAGCACTTCCTCTTCCGTTCTGTCTTCAGAGCCACATCTCACATGGTCTTCAAAAGCAAGGGTCTTGCACACACTCCTAGTTTCTAGACTTCTGTTTTAAATGTTGGGAACCAAAGAAGGAAGGAAGAAGAGAGACAGAAAAAGGTATCATAAGAAAAACATGTCTTTGGGACCCCAGGAAATCACCCAGGTCCAGAGCAGACTGAGAATAATAGTATTGTATTGACTGAGGAAAAAGGTGCCGAAGGGGGAGGGGCAATGTGAGAAACAGCAGGACTGGAGCCAAGCCACAGACTGTGCCACTTTACTCTGCTTAAGTTCTCAATGTGTGGCATTCCCATAATCATCACGACACTGTCAGGGTTTTGAGTTTGTCCCTTCTGCTTTGGTTATTCTCCGAGGGCGAAGCCCTTGGAGGCTGTTGGGTTTGTATGTGCTGGTAGCACAGTCAGGCCCAATCATTTGGGGTTCTGTGGCTCATAGGTGCATTCTTTTATTCTTCAGTGTCTCATAAATTATCCAACTGTTGAATAGAATTATAACTATGTTAACATCAGTTTTTTCCAATAAAATAACAAATGTTCCATCAAAAAAAAAAAAAGAACTTCCTCTTTGAGTTCATTGAGAACAAAGCCTAAGTACTCCTCAGCAACTTTTTAGGCTTGCTTGACTTGACAAGTGTCTGGAAGCTGTAAATATGTATGGGTGCAAAGGTTCCTGGGCAGATATCTATTGCAACTTTATCTCCAAGATCTCCGAGGAGTTTGCAAGGAACTGGCATTACTAGTAAGCTTGTTCATTTGGGAACAAAGCATTGGGTTTGAGTACAGAGGAATGAATGTAATCAGGTGATACATCTTGCTGGGGTAAGCCCCCAATGCCACCAGTGACTGCAGGGAAATGTAGCACAAATTTCCTTTATTGAGCAGCGATGACACCAGCTTATGTGTTAAGGTTACAGTCTCCAGTAAAAGCAATTTTTATGGCTGGGTGATCCTCTGAAGTTGGAACAAGCACTTTTTAAAATTTTTTATGTCCACCAGCTTTTCAGAGGCCAGGGCAGATGCAGGGAGTTCTTAATTTCTACATATGCTAAGGGCTAGGAGGAAGCGGGATTAGAACCATGAAAGAAGCTAGCACAGGATGTTGCAGGCTGGCTAACAGGAAAGGCACCAGACACAGAAAGCAGGAGGTGAGTGGCCCTCTGCTTTGCAGCGTCCAACTCTGTGCTCTCCTCAGTGTACAACGCTGCTCCACTAACAGCAGTGTCCTCCATGGAGGATTCAAGTATACTTGAAACCCCACAGGAGTTCATACACAGAGAAGTCCTATAAGGTTATGTAGTGTTCTACTAAAGAGTACAGTCTTACAGGTCATCGGCAGTTATACTTCTGACGTTCTTACACTTATGTAGGTATAACCAGGTGTAGGGAGGAAACGTGAAGGAGACACGAAGCCAGAGTTGATGGTGTTACAAGCCCCAGACAGGGAATAGGGAAATGCCACAACAAAGAACAATTTTAACACGTTTAAACCAAAGTCCGTGAGAATCTCCTGATAGGCTCACATGAGCATCTGCCACTGGGCTCCTCATCAATTTTATGTTTGCACTCCAAAGCCAAACTAGAGAGTGACACACTCAGGATCTGCTTTCAGATACTCTGATGGCTATTGGATTGGCTAGACTAACAGCATGAACTTCCTCCCAGAAGAAGTTCTTCTCTCCTCTAGAGAGGGAGAGACAAGAAAGTCATTGACTTTTAGGTTAAAAAAGTATGCCTCTGTCTCTCTTGGTTGCAAGTGGCTGCAAGTGTTGAAATTGAGCCAAGGCTGTGATGTTCTATATCTGGACAGGAATTTTCTTATCTAGAAAAAAATTCGTTAGTGAGAAATTGTTGCTGAAGTGCATCCCATGTGGATGTAAGACTAATGTCTAAGAACACACTGGAAGGATACATAAACTGTTACACTCATTGCTTCCATTCAGCTCACAGAAGCCAGGTTAGACATTGTCTCAGTCACCTGGTGGCAATTAGGGTCACCTTCAGAGGGTGTGATGAGAACAGGAGCAGCAGCCCCGGGCAGATGCCTCAAAAGCAGCAATTCCAAAATGCTTTGGGTTCTTTGGCTAGATATACCTAAGGAAGCACTGTTGCCTAGAGATTGTATGTGAGGGTAGAAACCAGAATTCCAGCCAGACATTAATAATATCTCTTAAAGAACAACTTTGGAACTGAATCTCTAAAATTCGATGTTTTAAAAAATGAATTCTATATATTCTCCAAGTTCAACCCATCTCCGAAATTATATCCCCCTCTTCAGAGGGAAGAAGCAGCCATAATGGCTCACTAGTGGGAAATTAGTTCCTTCCAGGCAAAAGGATAAAATTTTTGATCTGAGCGGAACCCTACATTCCAAGCTACACAAAACACAAAAGAGGTAATCCATTCAGGCCGATCAATTTTCTGGTCAAGGGACTACCCCTCAGGAAGGATCGATGACTCTAGGAAGATGGACTCACCTTAAGTGATGAAATAGGTGGGATTATTACCTCTTTAATAGATCTTTCCTGTTCTTCCACAGAATTCCTGTCCCCACAGAGAAGTAGCTTATAGGGCAACAGTCATGGAAATTTTAAGTCTGTCCACTTTTTCCTTTATTCATTTTCTTCTTTGTAACTCTGTTCTAAGCACAGAGTTCCTTCTCCTGGCCTTTGGGATTCCTTTCTCTTTGGTTTAAATTCCCCACTCCCTGTCATATGGCTGCTTATCTGAAATGTGCCTGACTGACCTCCATGCCAGTTTACATCCAACAGTATGGTTTCCCTTCCCTTCTGTTTTTCATTCTCTTCCTCCTGGTGTTTACTGAGATTTACAGCTTGCCCAGCCTGGGGTTTTTCTTTTAAACTCTAATAATATTTTCCTAGAGATAGAAAAAAGATTATAGCTTTTTGACAGTTTCCCTGAACATTTCACTAGCAGATTAGGGATTTAGTAAAACTGAATGAAAAAAGAGAATTGTTTGATGGCAATCTTTAGTCTCACTTTAATGTCGACAGATGTTTTAGAAGCCATTTTTCAAGTTCTTAGGAAGCAACTCCCTCCTCCCAAGTGTCCACTGACAGGTTAAAATTGAGCAGTATTTTTGTCTATTTTCAATTTAGCTAACAGGTAAAATAACTTTCTTTGTGCCCAACAGGAATAATTTATCTTCATCACTACATAAAAACACTCAGCCCCTGAGCAGGCTGCAATATGACTGTTACAAGCTGAAGGGAAATAAGTAAAAGAACAAAGAAATGTTCCCTGGCAAGACTACCACTTTCCCTTCAAAGACACACATGGTGGTACTCATAAAATGAAAAATAAAAGTGTTTTTTTTCTTTAATGAACAGCCACTATAGATCATTCCAGGGCTTTATGGATAATCCTGTCCAGAACAGATGAAATATGTAATCAGTAACACTGTGCACTGAAGGAAACCATTCTGAAGATGATGATGAGAGGGGGAATCCCTTTGACTCCATTTTCCCACCTTATGTCCCTAAAGTGTCACTTTGGTTAGGGCTGAAGGGGAAAGTGAGGTTCAAGAAAACTCAGCAAATTCCTCAACCTGCTTCAGCCATTGGCAAGAAAGGAGGATGGTAAAGTAGGTAGCTAAATAAACTTTACAGGATAAGCTGAACCCCAGACAAAGGGACATGGGGAATCATAAAACTGTTTTTGAATTTAAAGAGTGGGAGGCTATTCCAAAATGAACTCAGAGATTATCTGTGTAAGTATAATTTTCAGTTTTACCTCACTTGACTTAAAGTATTGATATGCCTTAAAGGTAGAGTCACAAAAAATATTCATATGATGCTAATATGGATACCCTGTGATACTGCACTGACTCAATATCTCACCCATTCAATCAGTATAAATTATATATAATTATCATAAATTAGCAGTTCCATGTGACAGGCATTGTTCTGGGCACTAGAACTACACGGTTACAGAAGAATGGCACATGTCACAAAGTGAGGCTAGACTTTGGGGAAGGAAGAGGTTTTAGTTCTTAAGTCCAGTAAAGTGGGGTTTACCAAACTTTAATGTCAGTATGAATCACCTGAGGACCCTGCAAAATTCAGAAATTTACTTGGAAGACTCTAACAAGGCCCCTTGTCCCCAGGACATTGATGTGACTGTCATTGAACTATTCAATGAGTTCCAGGCACTAATTCCATGGATTTCTTCTTTTTCTGCCACAAACTCTACTTATTGTAACACAAGAATCAACTGGACTATAGTCATCTGTAAGTATTCATCAGAGAAAGTTTTCAGAACCTTCTGCAATTACCAAAACATACGGACACTCAAGTTTCATACAAAATGATGGAGTATTTATATAATGCCTCGTGCATCCTTCAATGTATTTTAAACACATTCTAGATGATTTATAACACCTAGTGCACTGCAAATGTTGTGTAAACAGCTAGTGTATTTTGTTATTTATGGAATAATTACAGAAATGTGTGACTTCAGTACAGATACATATACGTTCTGAATTTCAATTTTCTGAATGCCATTGGTTGACTATATGGAAACAAATCCCATGGGCAAACAGGGCCTACTGTACTCATTTGAATGTTCAGTGTGTGCAACTTGAACCATAAAAATGGAAATCTCTAGGTTTGTGATTCTATATACTAAGCTATCATGCAAAATAACAAGTGTCTCCTCTCCATGTCCTCTGAGGATTATATCATAGCAACACAAAAGTAATTCACTGATAGAATCTTCTCAATAATAAAGCCTCTAAGGACCAAAGAACCAAAGTTAAGTTTTAAAGTAGTTTTTAGAATATTCTTACCCGGGGCAGCAGGGAGGAATGCATCTGATCCGAAGACTGAAACTGTGATTTGAATTTTGAAAAATTCACTAGCACAGAGTGTCAAGTGCTAAAATAAAAATCACCTGCATAGAGAGGTGGGTGGGATCTGGGAAGAGTTTGGGAGGGGAAAACATGATCAAAATATATTGTATGAAAAAATGTAAAGAAACAAAAACCGTAAAATCATCAGCCTTTCTATATATCAGAAACAAGCATGCT